TGTGAACGAGGATGCATCCATTAAGTTTTCTTGCGCTTTGGTAGTTGGAATATCGTGTTGGTGATGAGCAGGTCAAATTCAGAGCATGTTTTCAGCAGTAGAAGACCGTTGCTGTTACATTTTCCAATGCCATGTGCACCTATGACTCCATTCCATGATTGATGGTCACTTCCAACTCTGGCGTTGAAGTCATCAAGTATCAGGAGCTTGTCAGAGCTGGCTGTGGCAGCAATAATGACTTCCAGGTCATTATAAAACTTGGTTTTGATCTCGTCAGAGTTGGTCATGGTAGGGGCATAGGCACCGATGATGATGGCCTCCTTTTTAACCAATAGGTGGAGCTTTAAGGTCATTAAACGGTCGTTTATCCCCTTGGGTTGGCTTGCCAGTCGGTATCTACTGACTCTACTACTGTAGAGTCAGTAGATAATACTACAGTCAGCAGATACCACTATAGTCAGTATACACTGCTGCAGAGTCGGTAGATACTTTAGAGTCAGTAGATACTGCTATAGAATCAGCAGACACTACTAGAGCCACTATTTACTACTATAGATTCAGTAGGTAATATAGTCATTAGATACTACTACAGTCAGTAGTTACTACTATAGTCGGTAGATACTACTATAGAGTTGGTAGATACTACTATAGTCAGTAGTTAATACTAGTCAGCAGATTTTACTACAGTCATTGTGTTGTGCCCGGGCTTGGGTTGGAGCTTGCACTTCGCCACTCCCCCTACCCCACACCCTCTCTATCTCTCCTCCCTGGCTCCTCCCCCCCTCTTACGTATGTAATAAAGGACTCTCAGGCGATGTTGTTCTCCGTGTCCTTTATTTGGGTTCTTGCTCGCACCCCGCGATGTCTCCGCTCGGACCCCCACCTTCTCCGCCTCGTGCCTCCGCACGTCGTCTGAGTCCTCCGCTCTCTCTCTCTCTCTCTGCAGCCACACCGCTGCCCGTGTGCTCAGCACACTCCGCAGCCACCCTGCTGCTCCGTGTGACTCCGCACACTCAGCAGCCACTCTCCTGCTCCGTGTGCTCCCACACACTCTGCAGACACCCCCGCTGCCCCACGAACACTGCTAGCCGACGGTGCCATGACTCCAGCCTCGTGGCTATCGCGCCACTCCTCGCCAGCACTCCGCAAGGCCTCTCCTTTCTCTATCCTGTCTCCACTCCCGATCCCCTTCCGGTTCTCCCCTTATATCCTCCCCCTCACGTGACCCTGACTCCTCCTCACGTGACCCTGACTCCGCCCACACTCACGTGACCCTGTCCTTGCTCGCATTACGCGTATATATGTAGCCTCGTGTCACAAGCAGCCTCCTTTTGCCCATTTCAGCAATTTGTTTATTACTGGGGTTGTTTCCACCTGATGACGGGCACGTGTTGCGCCCGAAACGTCGTGTTTTTATTATTTTATTAATTTATTTTATACCTACGTGACTTTACCGAAAGAACCAGAGTATAAAGTCAGTATCCACTGCTGCAGAGTCAGTTCATTCGACTATAGAGTCAGTAGATACTGCTATAGAGTAAGCCAATACTGCTATAGTCAGAAGATACTACTATAGTCAGCAGATAATGCGAAATAATTAGTAGTTACTACTACAGAGTCAGCAGATACTACTGTAGAGTTAGTAGTTATTATTGTAGAGTTAGTAGTTACTACTATAGTCAGCAGATACTACTGTAGGGTCAGTAGATACAACTACGGTCAGTAACTACTACAGCCAGTATATACGACTATACAGTCAGTAGCTACTACAGGGCGCAGTAGATACTACTGTACAGTCAGTAGATACTACGGAGTCAGCAGATACTACTATAGAGTCAATAGATACTACTCAGTATTGTATGTAGGGTGTGTAGGTATATATGCCTACGCGGGGGTAAACATATTTTTGAGGGGGGGGGGGGTCGACAATTTTCGGAAATCTTTTAGATCAACTATTTACCCCCCACTTTCTATTACTTTTTGGACTTCTGCAAGCCTCTTCTAATTTTGTTAACGGACAAATGGAAAAACGGCACGCCAGGATTTCACAATAGCTTAGTATTTATGTATGTATATGTTATGTTTTTAAGAGAAGTTTTGAAGTATATTTTCCCCCGGGCAACGCCGGGTACTTCCCGCTAGTATATTATATATAAAATATATATTGTAAAACGGTCTAAACAAAGAAATGGTTTCGATGGCAGGGGGCATGCAAGGGATGAGGAATGGGTGATCACGATAGAGGGGTGGATAAGGGTTAAAAAGGGATAGGGGAGAGGGTTACGAGAGAAGGGTGGTTTAAGGGATAGGGAAGGGTAGGGGAGGTGGTCACAGTTGATGGGAATAAGTGGAGAGGAGAGGGGATGGAAGAGGAAGGGAATGGACAATGAAGACGAGGCAAGGCTTTGGGAGGAAGGGAAGGTGAAGGCGGAGTGGGACTGCTCAATGTTCGAAGACACAGAGAGGGAGGGAGAATGGAAATCGTGTAGCAGGTGCAGCGCCATCTTTATGGCGGATAACGTCTTGTACCCTATTGTTCTAGCACTGGGATCCGGAGCCGCATGCGGCTGTTTAAAATTTGAACAAAAAGGCATTTGTTTATTTTGGGTGCTAACCCCTAGCCATAGAAGTCTAGTTCACCATGGAAGTTCAGTTCACATGGAAGTTCAGTTTACCAGGGGCAGGGATCGACAACCTACGGGTCCGGAGACGCATGTGGCTAAATTTCGATTTAAAGCTTTCGTGACTGCAGGGATTCATCTTCTTGGTTCTTTCGGTAAAGTCACGTAGAAGGGAAGTAATAAAATAATAAAAATAAAACATAATTCTCACGACGTTTCGGCTACAACGCAAGCAGACGGCTGCTTGCGTTGTAGCCGAAACGTCGTGAGAATTATTATGTTTTATTTTTATTATTTTATTACTTCCCTTCTACGTGACTTTACCGAAAGAACCAAGAAGACGCATGTGGCTGTTTAAAATTCGAACAAAAAGGCATTTGTTTATTTTGGGTGACGACCCCTAACCATGGAAGTTCAGTTCACCATGGAAGTTCAGTTCACCATGGAAGTTCAGTTTGCCATGGGCAGGGGTCGACAACCTGTGGCTCCAGAACCGTGTGTGGCTCATTAAGGACTGCATCGTGATGTGATATATTAAGGACCACCATCGTCTCGTATTCACATTGTATTGCATCTCTTGAAAGGCAGTCGTGTTCTGCTATAAGGTGGTAGTTGTTGCGTTCCTGAAGAACACCGTGTTATGGAAAAATCGCGTTATAAGAGATATTTCTAAAATAATGTAAAGCATAGTCCGCGATAACACGCGAGATGTGTTATGCAGAATTGTATAAAGACCGAGGCCCGTGTGTCGTATCTAGAAGCATCCAGCAGCATCCCAATGCCTTGTGTGAGGCAGCCGTACAACCGTTTATTCCCACTCGCGATGAGACGTAGTATTGTTCACTCAATCGCTTTCTATCCAATTTGCATCCGCGTCAATTTGCATCCCGAGTTATACAATGAAAAGTGTTCCCTCGTACATTCAACGCGTTGCATGCAATTCGCGTTTTCAAAACTACGCGCTGTGGGAGAACAGACTGCATTGGGTGTTTTACGTGGTGGTTTGGCTGCTGCAGCTCCTTACTATTAAAATTCCTTCCCTTTATAACTGTTCACCCTACTTCCTCCCTTTGTTGCTGCTAATCCTACATAATGCACGGGCATAATGACTTTGAGATCCCCCCCCCCCCCACCATCTACGCATTATACAAGTAGTGACTAATCCCATATCTCCATTTCCCATAAATATGCTAAATTCCTGTTGAAATGCAAATTCCTTTGTCAAGGCGCACTTCCTCCAATCACCCAGCTTAAATATACGCTGCCAAGCTTTGTGGTGTTCATTCAGAGGCTGTCTTTCCGACAGACCTGTTCTTCACCTGAGGACGGCTGCTTGCGTTGTGGCCGAAACGTCGTGAGAATTGTATTTTGTTTTATTTTTATTATTTTATTATTTCCCTTCTACGTGACTTTACCGAAAGAACCATGGTGTTTTATTTTGTTACCGAATCCGAAAATTAAATGTATCTTCGTGTTGATTCTGTTGCCAACCCTCTGAACTAGCACCTATAAAGGCCAGCAAGGCACACTTGGGGGTGGGTGGCCATCACCACACCCTGCCGTCTTTGTTTCCCCAATTCTGATGTTTACATATTGTACCAGGTACTCATTTAAGGGCGAGCCAACCTAGGGGAGGTCCAGGATGAGTTTAGATATTCGTCACCGATGTTGAACTTGTAGAGTTCGTAACGTAGTGCGTTAACCACTACACTACCGCTCTCCCCACTATATATATCCACATCTAAACACATGTTGTATCCAGCCAGGCTATTATCATTGTTAATAAGTGTCCCGTATTGCGCGACACTGGGACTGTCTTGTGTTTACAGTCACCGAAACGATTGCGCAGCATTAATCGTCGTTATCATCCGAATTTCGCCGTAACTTTACAGCCACGGACAGAGAACACAAATACCCCCTCGACGAGTCTGGGGCTAAACTCCACGGATCCATCAATTAATCGATCTATCTTCAAAACACACCGAGATAGGGGGGGTAAATTAGACATCGCGTGAGTTAGTAGGGAAGACGCTGTAATTGGGCGAGGCATTCGGTGTTCTTCGTGTCACTGGATGTTGAGTGTTGGCCAATGATGTCGCAACGGGTTTTATGTAGTTCAACCCTGCTGCCCCGTGCACCCCCAATCCCCCAGCCACCTGTAACCGCTCCTGTGCTGCTGTATAATGTGCTCCGATGCCCCCTTTTATTGAGGGCGACATTGGCACGCGAGATGAAATAATATTGATCGATCAGTGGACGATTTGTCTCATCTCACAGGCCCGTGCCTGGCACCGGAGCGACCACTCGGCTATAAACGCCTACGCAGCTTGTCAAACGCCATGGGAAAGGAGCAACGGCAACGACCACTTCGCTACTCTCTGGTCCTCATCCATCGTTTATGAAACGTTTTAAAAGCACAATACAAAGTCAGCCCCGCCATCGGGACATAAGCACGACCGACCGACTCAATGTGTTGTATAACTTATCGAAGAAGATTACATTAGATTGGCCCGGTCACTCGCTCTCTTACTCGCTCACGGAGTGTTCACGACGTGCGACACCGGCTGACTCGCTTGCTCATTCGCTCACTCACTCTCTCACTCGCAGGGCAATCACGACGTATGGCACGAGCTCATTCGCTCGCTCACCGACTCGCTCGCAGGGCAATCACGACGGACTTAAATTGACACGTGGGGGGGGGGGGGGGCACTGGAGACACGTAGATCGAGGCGCGGGGGGGGCACCCACGACGGAAGACGGGAAGGTCAAGGGGGTACAGTGGCGGTCATGCCCCCCATCTGAGAAGGCGCTTCTCTATCTTCTTCCACGGAGAAAACACCGTTGTATTTTTTTTTACGATAAAAATACACAAACATATATACACTTAAATTCACCGTCAATACAAAAAAACTCACACCAACGACTAATTTAAGTGGTTTCGTATACGTTTTGGTTTTTAACCAAGCGTGCGGAGGCTTGTTAGGCGTTAAGAACCTGCGCGGAGACATTCGAACGAAGGGGGGGCGGCGTCCCACCCCCTCCCGGTTTGAACTTTGTTGAACGTCTTTATCACCATAGTAGCTAACGTTGCAAAGATCCACCACCGCGCCCCCCGCTTCCCCCCCTTGTCCCCCCAATCTCGCTCCACCACATGCCAGGACACGCAGACGCAGAATCGCGTTTCCAGCACGTGACGCGGAGAGGCTTTTAAACGTAAGGAAGGGAAGGAAGCGCCCAAACCAACGCCAATTACTCCACAATTTCACTCCGAAGGCTTTTAACGCAAGTTTCCCCAATTACCCCTGACACCGAAGACAAAGATCCCCCGTGTAGACTCTAATAGGCTGTTGGTGCAAGTGCCGTTCGCGAAGTAGCAGCACCCTATGAAGGTCGGCACGGCGCACAAGGGGATAGGTGGCCGGCACCACGCACGCCCAGCCACCTTTGTCTTCCCAGCGACGATGTTTACTGCACGCCGCACCAGCTACTCGTTTGAGACTGAGTGGACCTAGGGGGAGGCCAAGGACCGGTGAAGATAATCGTCACTCTGCTGTTGGTGGTAGCCGTGAGCGGCGATCGAACGCGGGTCGCCGGGTTCGTAGTGGGGCACGCTAACCGCTGCGCCACCGCTCCCGACACCCGACCAATATCAATACCCGCCATTCGCCACTAAGTGATGGTGACGTCACCACGGCACCTGTGCCAGGCCAGGTGCACTTTGAGGCCACGTGAAGTGTCGAAGGCTCGCTGCTGGCAGGAGGTCACGAACCCAGGTGCCATGGGCTGGCTGACTGAGACGGCCGGCAGATGCACCACCCGTGTGCTCCCCCTACTGTGTCAACTCTGTTTTATCCGCCCGGCGCTCCGCTCGTTGTTGTGAGCGTCGCTCCTCTGCCCTCCGCTGTTGCTGGAAGGCGACTGCCTCCCACTGCCCAGCAGCGTCCCTTCACGAGCCTCCTCAACGACACCTGACACACGCGCGCGCACGCTGCAACATGCGCAACCCCTCTCCCCCGCTCACAGCCCGCTGGCAAACTCGGAGAGGATGAGCTCCTTGAAGGCGGTGTGCCGCTTCGGCTTTGCTTTCGTCGCCGGCCTGCGGACACCACGGGCGCACGGTTAGAGGGGTCCCGGTCAGCGCTCGCTGACTGCGCCGCAACCACCACCACCCACCACCACCACAACCAACACAAAAGCCACCACGATCACCACCACAATGACCACAACCAACCACCGCCACAACCACAACCCACACGAAATCCCCCATGACCACCACACCACGTGTGTCACCTGTGTGATGGCATGCATCCCCCGTGTATGATTACGCATGTCACCTATGTGTGTGTGCGCGTCAACTGTGTGTGTGTGTGTGTTACCTGCGTGTGCGTCACCAGTGCGTGTGCGCCACCAGTGCGTGCGCGTGATCCCGTGCGTGCGTGTGCGTCACCTGTTCGCGCGCGTCCCCGCTGCCCGCCGTCCCCCCGCCCCGCCCTGCTTCCCCGCCACCAGCTGACCGGGCGCTTCCCTGAGCCCGAAGCTCTTGGCCGCGTGGCCCAGGTGCAGCGAGCGCACGTGGAACACGTGCTTGAGCGACGCGGGGTAGGTGGCGTACGCGCGCACGTACGACTGGTACGCTGTGACACACGCGCACAGAAACAACACCGCCGGCACCGTGAAGCCTTCACCACTCTCCGGCGCGCGGCGCGCGGCGCGCTTATCCGGCGCGCGATTTCTACTCGCCCGTGCGCCGTGTCTATATGGTGTGAGATTTACAATCAGCCGATCCGCTGTGGGAATTGTAAATCCTCGCCGACCCCCCCAACCCCACCCACGCCCCCCAACAAAGACAAAGATCCCCAGTATAGTCTTAACGGGCTGTTGGGGCAAGTGCTGTTGGCAAGCAGCAGCGCCGGTGCAGGGGCGGCACGGCGTGCACGAGGGCGTTGGTGTGTGCACGCCCGCCCGCCCTTGCCTTTGTGTGTATCGATTACAGCACAGGTGCGTGTAGTGTACAGCACAGGTGTGTGTGTCTACAGCACAGGTGTGTGTAGTGTACAGCACAGGTGCGTGTAGTGTACAGCACAGGTGTGTGTGTCTACGGCACAGGTGTGTGTAGTGTACATCACAGGTGTGTGTAGTGTACATCACAGGTGTGTGTAGTGTACAACACAGGTGTGTGTAGTGTACGGCACAGGTGCGTGTGTCTACATCACAGATGTGTGCGTGTGTCTACATCACAGGTGTGTGTGTCTACAGCACAGGTGCGCATATAGGGAACAGCACAGGTGTGTAGGGTACAGCACAGGTGTGTAGAGTACTGCACAGTTGTGTAGGGTACAGCACAGTTGTGTAGGGTACAGCACAGGTGCGTGTGTACAGCTCATGTGCGCACCTTTCTTAGCGAGCTGCAGGTGCTCGGGGCTGGAGTGGGTGAAGCTCTCAAACTGCAGCTGCATCTCGGTGGCCTTCTCGTGTGCAGCCTGCCTCAGCTGCGCCGCCTCCCACTTACCCTGCACACAGACAAAGGTCCCCCGGGTAGCCTGAGCAGACTGTTGGGGCAAGGGCTGTGCAGGCCGGTACGGCACACGAAGGAGGTAGGTGGCCCGCACCACGCCCGGCCGCCTTTGTCTCCCCTACTGCCGATGTTTACACACCGCACTCATTTAAGGCTGAGCCGACTTAGGGAAGGCCCGGGTCTCGTAAAAAAAATTGTCACCGTTATTGGTCGTGAGCGGGAATCGAACTCGGGTCGCCGGGATTGAAACCGCTGCACTACCGCTCCCCAAAAACAACCGCCGCCATTCGCCACTAAGTGGCGGTGACGTCACCACGGCGCCTGTGCCAGGCTAGGTGCACTTTAAGGCCATGTGAAGTGTCGAAGGGCCCGCTGGCAGGAGGTCACGGGACAGATCCAGGTGCCATGGGTTACTAAGATGACCAGTAGATGCACCAGATAGATGGCTGGCAGTTGCAACATCAGTGCTCACACTTCCAACTTTCTGCGTTTTAGCCGCCCGGTGCTCCGCTCATTGTTGTGAGCATCACGCCTCTGCCCGCACACGGACACACACAAAGACAAAACTCCGCCGTATAGACTAAACAGACTGTTGGGGCAAGTGCTGTTCGCGAGCACCTATGAAGGCCGCCATGAAACACGAGGTGGTGAAGGATGACCAAGACCACGCCCCACCGCCTATGTCTCCCTAGTGGCGATTTTTACTGCACACCGCACCAGGTACTCATTTTGAGGCTGATTCGACCTAGGGGAGGGCCCAGGACCAGTTTGTATATTCGTAGCGCAGAGCGCTGTCACGCTACGCGGACACACAAACATGGACACACAACAACAACTGCCATTCGCCACTAAGTGGCGGTGACATCACCACGGCGCTTGTGCCAGGCTATGTGCACGTTAAGGCCACGTGAAGTGTCAAACGCCCGCCGGCAGGAGGTCACGGGGGCAGACCCAGCAGGTGCCACGGGTCGACTGACTGAGATGACTGCCGATCCACCACCTGTGCCCCCCTACTGTGCCAGGCTAGGTGCACCAGGAGGTCACGACACAGACCCAGCAGCTGCCACGGGTCGACTGACTGAGATGACCGGCCGATGTACCACCTGTGCCCCCCTACTGTGCTAACGCACACACGCACAGACAGACTTGCGCACGCACACAGACACACACGCACAGACACACACAGACACACACACACAGACACACACGCACAGACACACACACACAGACCAACTCGCGCACGCGCACAGACACACACACAGACACACAAGCACAGACACATGCGCACAGACGCGCGCACACAGAGCCACGTACCCGCTTGGCCCGGCCGCCAGAGTTCCCCAGCAGAGTCCTCAACACCGTCTCCATCTTGAGCTCCCGCAGGCTGCCCTCACACACAGGCACGGCACACACACACGCATACACAACAATTACACGCCGGTAAACACACACCATGGACACGCATGGCACGCACCACGTATATGCACGGGTACACACAACACCACAAACACACACACACCACATACAGATAAACACAAACACACCACAAAAACACACGTGTACAAAATCAAACACACACACAAACAACATCAATAACCGCCAGTTTCCACTGAGTGGCGGTGACGTCAGCACGGCGCTTGCGCCAGGCTGGTGAGTGCCGGTCAGTGTGAGTGCCGGTGAGTGCCGGTGAGTGTTGGTGTCTGTGAGTGCCGGTGAGTGTGAATGTTGGTGAGTGCCGGTGAGTGTGAGTGTCTGCGAGTGTCTGCGAGTGTGAGTGCCGGTGACTGTGAGTGTCCGTGACTCTGAATGTAGTTGAGTGCCGGTGAGTGTTAGTGACTGTGAGTATCGGTGATTGTCGGTGAGTGTCGGTGAGTGCCGGCGAGTGCCGTAGGACGCGTGCCTGATGCCGCGCTCCGCCAGCACGGTGAGGAACTCGAGCTCGGACGGCGCCAGGAAGAGGACGCTGCTGCCGCGGTGGCCGATGCGCGCCGTGCGGCCCACGCGGTGAACGTACTCCTCCACGCTCGCCGGGGCCATGTACTGCAAGCACGCACGCACACCGCAGCAAAAGGTGACCCGGGTAGCCTTCGCAACGCTGTCAGGGCAAGTGGCGGCAGCTAGCGGCGGCAGCCTGCGAAGGCCGGCTCGTAGGAAGGGGCGCAACGACTAATCCACAATTGCACAAACACACGGGGCAGGCATGCACGCACGCACGCACAAAGAAAGACAAAGATCCCCCGTGTAGCCTTAACAGACTGTTGGGGCAAGTGCTGTTAGCGAGCAGCATCTATGAATGCCCGCACGGCACACGAGGGGGTGGGTGGGTGGCCAGCACCACGCCCGACCGCCTTTGTCTCCCCAGTGGTGATGGTTACACACCGCACCAGGTACTCATTTGAGGCTGAGTCGACCTTGGAAAAGCCCAGGAACGGTTCAGATAATCAGCCAATGCCGGCGATGATGATCGCACGCACCACAGGCAAAGGTGCCCCGTGTAGCCTTTGCAACACTGCTGGGGCAAGTGCTGTGAGCAAGTAGCAGCACCTGAAGAGCCCGGCACGGAAAGTAAGAGCGTGGTGTGGTCTGAGCCACGGCTGGCCACTTTGTCTCTCCAAGTGGCGATGTGTACCACACACCAGAAGCGGTTAGGATATAAGCATCATCTGGGTGGCCCCTGCGTCACTGCTCCTGCAAAGACGCACTCACTCACCGACCCACTCACTCACCCACTCGCCAACTCCACTCACTCAAGCAATCATTCACCTCCTCGCTCACCCACTCACTTACCTGCCCACTCACCAACCCTACTCACTCTCATCCACTCACCGACCGACTCACTCACTCATCCACCAACCCACCAACCCACCCACTCACCCACTCACTGTCCAACTCCCTCACATGCCCACTCACTCACCTGCCCACTCAATCACCCACTCACTCACCAATTCTACTCACTCACCCACTCCCTCACCCGCGCGCTCACCCACCCACCCACCTGCTCACCCACTCGCCCACCCACTCGCCCACCCACCCGCCCACCCACTCGCCCACCCACCTGTATGATCCACGATACCCGCGGGAGGTCCAATCCTCGCGCCGCAACGTCCTGGAGTAACAAACACACACAACGCCGGCGCCCACGATTAGTGAGCCACTGTTATTAGTGATCCGCTATTAGTCAGCCACCACTGTTAGTGAGCCACTGTTATTCGTGAGCCACTGTTATCAGTGAGCCACCATTATTGGTGAGCTGCTGTGATTAGTGAGCCACTGCTATTGGTGAGCCGCTGTGATTAGCGGGCCGCCATAGTTGGTCAGCCACGGAGATTAGTGAGCTGCTGTGATTATCAAGCCACTGTCATTGTTGAGCCAGTGCGGTTAGTGAACCAGCGCCACTGCCTTGCCAGCGCCACTGCCTTGCCAGCGCCACTGGCGAGCAGACCCAGTAGGAGGGTGCCACGTGCTTACCGTGCACACGAGCACCCCGGAGCGAGCCTTGCAGAACGAGTCGAACACCTCCATCCGCTCCTGCAGGAATAGTCAGAATCAGAATCTCCGTTTAGACCAGAAGGGAGGAATCCGAAGAGCTATGAAGCTCTTCGTGTCAGATGTCAAGGACGGAGAAGAACAACGCGCTGGCGGGCCCGGGTGTCGCTCGCTCGCACCGATGGAAATAAAGCATCGCCTTTACTATTCCGGCAAGAATCGTGACCAAAGACAACCCAATATATCGAACCGTTAATCGTCAACTGACGCTTTGACATTAGCGTTGCCTTTGTGGCGTTTCGCCTTTTGCCGTTGTTCTCCGGCCTAACAGCGGTGCGGAGATGAGGGGCATCAAGGGGACTGCAACTCGGGTGCAGGCCAATCAGTGTCAAGGACAGTGCATACATTGATTTATTACAAGCATGATCTAAAACTAAAAACTTAACTGAATATTTTTTCTATTTTAAAACTAAACCATTTTTTATACTAGTAGGAACCGCTAGGTTACACCAGCCCACAGGGGATTATTGTGAACGTCCATCGTGCAGGGAGGGGCTGGGTGGGGGGGGAGGGGCTGGGTGGGGAGGGGAGGGTGGGGAGGGACTGGGTGGGGAGGGTGGGGAGGGGCTGGGTGGGGCTGGGTGGGGGGTGGGAGGGGTGGGGCTGGGTGGGGAGGGGCTGGTCACCCCGTGGTGCCCTTATAAAACTCAACGTTTAACCTACTCACGCCGGCGTGTGCCCGCCCTCACAGTCGAGCATATTTGCGGAATACACCACGCAGCCGTTGACCCTGGCCATTGACCGAGCAACCCAACGTTCCTACCAGCTCCCTCCGCAGGAATGTGTTTGTACCAGGTAAGGCCCACTGATCCATGTAGCTCTCTTTCAGAGGCGACCACCTGGCGATCACAAATGATAGCTCAACGAAGCGGCTTATCACGTAGGAAATTCATAGCGGTAGCGAAATCCTCTGAACGCATGACGCCGATTCCAAATGTGGAGCGAAAAACCAGAGGACCCGGAGCGCGAGAGAGACACGCAAACTACAAATATACAGCAGGCGTCGGGGTCGGGATCGAACCCACGACCTCCTGCATAACAGGTGAGGGATTTAACATCTCCTAGCCACCGTGGCGAATGCAGACTTGTTGGCTTATCCAATAAAACCGCGATTCGTATATTCTATCGGTATAACGAATTTTTTACCATCACTATACACAGAAAGCAAAAACTCAAGTAAAAATACGTAAACGAGAATACAACTTACGGTTCTTCACTACGTTTCGTCGCACATGATGTCACTTTCACCACACGCTCTCTTACTCGCAATCCGAACGGCGCCGTGAGCACAACGCGAAACGGAAAGCGATTCACTCTGCGCCGTTGTAACCTGCCACACCGAAGGTGTTCCCCTCATGGGGGTCCTACTCGCGGTTTGAACGTCTTCAAACGCCTGTGCGATCATTGCCGGACAGCGTGAAGCCCGCCGGCCTATCGATATCGATTATTCATTCATTTGTTTGGCTCGTCGAGCGCCCCCCGATGCTTCGTGTCAGTCGGCAAGATCCTGTTGGTGCCGCCCCCCCTACGCACCGCCACTCCCCTCCTCCCCTCCACCCACCTGCTGATCCACGCTGCCGTGGAGACGCCACAGGGCGACCCTCGGGGGCTCCTTCCCCCCCCCCTCCTCGTTCTCCTCGTCAGCATCATCACCTCCTCCTCCGAGACGGTGGCTGAGCACCGTGAAGTGGAACTCGGCGGCCTCGCGGCTCGACACGAACACCACGAGCTTGGCCTCGTCCCGGCACTGCACACGGCCAGCGGGCGTTAGCTCACCGCGGCAACGGCGGTGATGGTGGCGGCAGTGGTGGTGAGTGATGATGACAACGACGACGATGATGACGATGATGACGATAATTATGACAAAGATGACGATGATGGTGATGATGACCATGAAGACGATGATGGCAATGATGATGACAATGATGTTGACGACGATGACGACGACGCTGACAACCATGACAACGATAATGACGATGAGGACGACGATTAAAATGACGACGACAATGATGACGATGAACGAAGCCCGATCCCCGAAGGAGAATGATTCACCGCACGGCTACCGCAGAACTCGGGCCACGAGTGGGCACGCCGACGGCTCACCGCTCACCTTGGTGAGGATGAACGAGGTGAGCGTGACGAGGCGCAGTTTGCTGGGCACCGCGATAAAGTGCTGAGTGAGCCCGGGTGGCAGCGAGATCTTCGTTGGTCCCTCCTCCCTCCCTGCCACCTCTTTCTTTCCCTCCTCCTGCTCCTCCTCTTCCTCCTCTTCCTCCCCGTCCTCGTCCGCCTCCACGGCCGCCCCCGTCCGATGGGCCCCACCGTTCGTCGTCGCGGCAACGACCTCGCCCGCGTGCGTTTCCACGGTTACGCTCACGGGGTCGTCCAGGAGGATGCCGGCCAGCCACGTGACCCCTAACGCACACATGCACGCACACGCACAAAGATAAACATCCCCCGTATAGCCTTAACAGACTGTAGGAGCAAGTGCTGTTAGCGAGCACCTATGAAGACTAACACAGCACACGAGGGGGTGGGTGACCAGCACCACACCTGGCCGCCTTTGTCTCCCTAGTGGCGATGTTTACACACTGCACCAGGTGCTCATTGGAGACTGAGTCGACCTAGGGGAGGCCCAGGACCAGTGGTGGCCGTGAGCGGGAATTGAACTCGGGTCGCCGGGTTCGTAGCGCAATGCGCTAACCGCTGCACTGCCGCTCCCCACACGCACGCACCCATATAAAATACAACAATAACAACAATAACCGCCATTCGCCAACTAAGTGGCGGTAACGTCACCACGACGCTTGTGCCAGGCTATGTGCACCTTGAGGCCACGTGAAGTGTCCCATACACGCACGCACAAGCATGGGCTCTCGCAGCCGAGCGCCGGGCTGTACCGCAGACGGCCAAGGCCGTGGCAATAAACACCACGCCGATGGAGCTCGCTAACACGGCCAACCATCGCCACCACCACCGCTACTACCACAACCGCCACCACCACCGCCGCCGCAACCACCAGCAGAAGGTGAGTGCTGGTGATTTTAACACATAGGAGTAGGCTTTCACGACCAATGTTATCTCTATCTCTATACATATATAAAAGGAAAATTTGTGAATGTGTGTCTGTTCAAAATGTTTAGCATACTTCCCAACATGCAACAAACTTGAAATTTGGCATGCTCTATATAAGAACGGGAGACACAGCAGAGCCTCACCATTCTGGCGAATTGCCCGATGATGCTGGATGCAATTACCAGCAAAACGTCGTACTCAAATTGTAAATGTTGTAGTTTCGCGCTTCAACACACCGGTGGGCTAAAGCAGTGAACTAATTTGTCTTTTGTCAACGTGACACTTTTTTACTGATTGGCCGTGTCGGGTGGTGGAGGGTTACGACATATTTATAAATAACGCGATCTAAACCCAAAAACGTTGATTATGAACAATTAGTTACTCCTCCAGCACACCGGTTGTGTGTGGGAGGACTGACTTGGTCTGTAATAAGGTAGGGCACTGATAAGGGGTTGACAGGTATGAAACCCACAACAACATTGACAATTGGGAGTTTCGTGACGTTTCGCCGGTGATTACATCGGGCGATTAGCCAAAATTGTGAAGACGTCTCCCCGCTGGTTTCAAGCCTTATATAGAGGAAGTGAAGGTGATGTTATCACTGTGAGTTTCTCAGCAGAGGTGGGGGCGTAGTGTGGATCATGCTAATCTGAGAATATGCAGTTCCTGTTTTCGGTTGGTTTCCTCACGGTTAATCAACGTACAGTGGGATGCGTTTATGTTTAGTTTGTTGTCCCTACCCCCAGTGCCGGATTAAGCTAGTGCGGGGCCTGTAGCACATGTTGTTATAAAGGGGCCCTAAATAAATAAAAAACATATAAATATAAAAAACATTTTTTTTACTTGCACAGTAAAGTAATTGCATTTTTTATTTGCTATACAGCAAGATGATACGACAAATCGCTAACCTTAAACACCCAGTCGTTCGTAAAAGTTGAAGGCGGTATAGTACTATAGTAATAGAGCAAGTGCAGAATCACTGAACTGTAATTGATAGCTTGAAAGCGTTTAGCACGGGGCCCTTGAAAATGCAGGGCCCTTGAAAGTGCAGGGCCCGTAGCCATATGTAGCTACTTGTGCTACGAGGATAATCCAGCACTGCCTCCCACACCCGCACCCCCGCCCCTTCGACGAGCGCGGTTGGCCACGCACGGTGCGAAAGAAGTTCAACATGCATTGCACGCAGGAAGACCATCGATTATCCGGCTTCCAACGAACCTCCACCAGAGCCGACGGCGTGGGATTTAGATAAAAACTAGCTGCCGTGTTACACCCCGCCCATCATCATCCCACTCAGAGCCTTCCAGATTGGAGTGGTAAGTACGGTACAGAAAATACGGTACATTTTTACGGGAGGATGTTTATTTTTGGTCTATTTGTATGTTTATTTATGCCAATTTCATAGAGTGAACAAATAAACAACACGATAAAAACCATGCAAACAACACCTAAAAGCATGTTTTACAAGAATGTTGAAAAAGTTAGCTATTTTAAATAACAATGATTACTGATTATCCGGCATTTTTAAAAATCCGGCGCCGCCGATCCCCCATATCCGCCGGATAATCGATGATCTAATGTACATTGAGTAAGTACTGGTGATGAGTGCTGGCGAGTGTACCCTGGTTCAGCGTGGCTGACAGCAGCACGTTCTGGTGAGCGGGACTCTGCTCCTCGAGACGGTTGAGAATGATGGTCAGATCCTTCTCAAAGCCCAGGTCCAGTAGCCTGGACAAACACACGCAGACACACACACAGCATGTGCAGGGCAGCCATGTTGGTAAGGGGATGACACAGGGCCTCCATAGAAATGGGCCATGTTGGTAAGGGAATACCACGGTGGGGGGAAGTGATGATATGGGGCCTCCATAGACATGGGCAGCCATGTTGGTAAGGCAAGGCCATAGCCATGGAGTCAACATTGGGGGGGACCAAATCTTCCAGGAGGTCTGGGCCCCCCTCCCCCCAGAGAAAAAAAATCATAATTTGAAAACGAATTTCCTGCCATTGCCTGCCTAAAATATACAAAAATTCACTAACACATGGGATGGACTTTTAGTGTATTGTATTACATTGCTCTGTTTTCTCTTTTTTACCTTTTCTTGTTTCATTGAATGTAATGGCAGATATTAAGGATTAATAAGGTACAACCATAACCACAATCATATAAACATAAATCAATTTTATAGCAATATATTGGGGGATGTGTCCCCCTCAACATCTATTATAATTACAGCCTTGTGGTAAGGGGAAGACACGGAGCCTCCATAGACATGGACAGCCATGTTGGTAGGGGGAAGATACGGGCGGTATGTTGACCACACCCCACCCACCGCGTTAGCCGCTCCGGCCTTAATAGGCGCTACGCACAGCTAACAGTGCCTGCCCCGGGGCAGCCGCCTGTCCAAGGCTACCCGGGGGAGACCTTTGCCTACCTGTCGGAGCGTCTAACGCGGCGATCTTCAGAAAAAACCATCGACCGCCAATCCACGACGTGACGCCGCCCCTGGCTGCACCGCCACGAGGTTAACGGTCAGCGCAACCGCCAGAGCAGCGACCCAGAGGTCGCCGGTTTGACTCCATCTCCCGGCGGTGCGGGGGGGGGGGCACATCAACACCCTCCCCCATTCCCGACTTCCCCCCCCCCCCAGCTGCCACTGTCCACCCAGCAGCAGTGCAGTCGATCGGGAGGTCACGTGTGGTGGGGTAAAGTGTGGGTACTCCTCCAACCTCGTTCCAGTTGCATAGGCCAAGACACCCTGTCACTGGGTGGGGGGGGGGGCGTTCTCTCTAGGGCTCCCTCTAGGGGAAGGATCCCCTTCCTGCCAGCGGTGAGGAGAGGGCAGCCATTGTAGGGAGCTGATCATTTAACCAGCGCCACCCACAGACCGCCACAGCGGACGGGGGGCCCCTCCCTGGGCAGTCCCTGGCCCCTCCCTTGACCCTCCCTGGCCCCTCCCTCGACCCTCCCTCGCCCCCTCACTGGCCCCTCCCACTCCTCGCCCCTCTCACCTGTCGGCCTCATCGAGCACCAGGTGGGCGACCCGGGCGAAGGAGAGCGTCTCCGTGTGGTGGATGTGGTCGACGAGGCGCCCCGGCGTTGCCACCAGCACGTTGATCCCCTTGCGCAGCCTGAACACACCGCGTCGGGTTGAGTTCAGGGGTTGTGGGGGGCGAGCAGGGGGTGGTGGGGGGGCAGTGCAGGGGTAGGGGGGGGCTCCATCATCGCCATTTTATATTCATTCCATGAAGACCAAAGTCAAGCCGAACGCTTTCACGTGAAGGTTGCGAGCGATCGTGCATCAGCTGTGTCCGCCCATCCGTCTGCACAGATGCCAACGTCGTGGTCTGCTCCTGCTGCCGGCCACGATGAGAGGGCTTCAGCAGACAGAGAGAGTTGGTGGGGTTTTGCTGTTCCTCCTCCTCCATTGAATGAGCGCAGACTACAGTGGCTTACTCTATGTACACCTCTATGGGTCGATGCGTCTCTACGGGTCTACGTATCTCTACACATCTCTACGAATTCCCTACGGGTCGACTTTATACGGCTCAGCATAAGAACGTAACGAGATCGTCAACTTGCGCGCCAATCTGCGTTGGGGCTTCAGCAGAGCATGCTGGGGCGTCCTCCCCAAAGTGCCCCTAAAACAGCGGCAACTCCACCGGAAGCCTGGCACCGCCGATCAGAATTTGTATTTGGACTGCGGGAGGAATCTGATGAGCTAAGAAGCTCTTTAATTTTTTACTGAGATGATGTCCAGGAGATGGCATTCGGGGTGGCATCGCGCGAGAGGCTGTGGAGCGCGGCCAGGAGGAGGCTGGCACGGCCGTGGGTGGCACGGCCACCCGGTCCAAACCCCAGGTGGGAGGGGGGGTGGTGGAGAGGTGGGGTGGGGGGTCACTGACCTGGCCTTCTCCGACTTGCGCTTCTCTCCGCCCATCAGCACGCCCGGCACCACCCACGAGAACGGCTGGTGGCACACGGGAAAGTAGTTACACGTGCCAGATGACCACAGGCACACCACAGACACACCACAGACACACCACAGACACCCCACACACACAGCACAGACACACCACACACACACCACAGACACACCACAGACACACCGCAGACACCCCGCAGACACAGCACAGACACAGCACAAATACGCAACACACTCACCACAGACACACCACACACACACACACACCACAGACTCACCACAGACTCACCACAGGCACACCACAGACTCACCACACCACAGGCACACCACAGACTCACCAGACACACCACACACACACCACAGACACCCCACACACACACCACATGCACACCAGACACAGCAAACCACAGACACACCACAGACACACCACACCACAGGCACAGCACAGGCACACCACAGACACAGCACACACACACCACAGGCACACCACAGACACAACACAGACACACCACACCACAGGCACACCACAGACACAGTACAGGCACACCACACCACAGGCACACCACAGACACAGCACAGACACACCACACACACACCACAGGCACACCACAGACACAGCACAGACACACCAGACACACCACAAACACACCACACACACACCACACACATACCACACACACACCACACACACACCACAGACTCACCACAGGCACAGCACAGACACACCACACACACCACAGACACCCCACAGACACACCACACACACAGCACAGGCACACCAGACACACCACAAACACACCACACACATACCACACACACACACCACACACACACCACAGACTCTTCACAGGCACAGCACAGACACGCCACAGACACACCACACCACAGGCACACCACAGACACACCATAGGCACACCACAGGCACACCACACCACAGGCACACCACAGGCACACCACAGACACAGCACAGGCACACCACAGGCACACCACATGCACACCACACACACACCACACACATACCACACACAAACCACACACACACCACAGACACAACACAGACACACCACACACACACCACATGCACACCACACCACAGGCACACCACAGACACAGCACAGGCAGCAGGGACGGTGGCAACGCCTGCCAGTGGCCGCGGGGACGAGTCGATCCCGGAGATCCTCACCTTGAGCAGCTGCTGGACAGCATTGAAGCTCTGCATGGCAAGCTGAGAAGCACACAGACGACATCCAGGCTGACAACTCATTTCTTTACAACAGCCTTTCGTGTTTTAGTTCGCTGTCCTTCGCCCGCAGCTCCGATTAGCACGGTTGGCTACGTACGGTGCGAAAGAAGTTCAACATACATACACACTGCTATACACTACACGCTATACACTATACACTACGCTACTATACACGACACTACTGTACAGTACACTATACACTACACCCTAATATACACTGCTATATACTATACTACGGCACACTTCACTATACACTACAATATTACGCACTACATTACGATAGTATATTGAAAACTAATTTCTTTTAAACTGCTTTTGTGTTTTGTTTGTTGTCCTTCCCCCGCACCTCCGATAATCGCGGTTGGCTACGTAAAAGAAGTCCAACCCACACATACAGTACACGTGATCTTCTCGTCTTGCTGCGAGATTTGGTGTTGACGTTTACACCTTGACAAGTCAGGGACCTGGTTACACCCTGACCTGGAGGCAGGCGTTGAACCGGTGTGCTGAAGGAATCAACAGCATTTTTTAATTTGAGGACAACATTTCGCTGGTAATTAAATTCAGCTTCAATGACCAGCGAAAACGTCGTACTCAAATTTTAAATGATGTTGATTCGCTCTTCAACACACCGGTGGGCTAAAGAAGTGAATTATTTTGCCCTTTGTAAACGTGACACTTTTTTTTACAGTTTGGCCGTGTCGGGTGGTGGAGGGTTACGACACATTATAAATAACGCGATCTGACCCAAACACCTTTATTATGAATAATATTGGTCGCGAAAGCCTACGTGTTAAACAGGGGTTGAACCGGCTCACAACACCCCCCCCCCCCCCCCCCGCACACCACCCCACGCCCGGACAGTGCTCGCCGATTCGTTGTACGATTTATTAACGGCAGTTGAGTGACCCACCAGGCCTGGGCCACCGAGGTGGAGAGATGTTAACTACCTCGCCTGGTATACAGGTCGTGGGTTCGATGCCGACCCCCCCCAACGCATGCGTATTTGTAGTTTACATGTCTCTCTCGCCGTGTTCGCGTGGATATTTCTCCGGGTCCTCTTTTTTTTCCCTCCATATAAATTCCAACACGATAAGCCACTTTGTTTAGCTATCATTTGTGGCCAGGTCGCTTCTGAGCCGAATAGCTCAGTGGGCATTACCTGGCAAAATAAATATTAAAAGTTTAGAGAGTCTATCGTAGAAGGTAGATCTGCTAAGCAGCAAACTAATTGACCTCCTCCTCATAAAACACGGCAATCTTCCAAACGACTCCTCCGCCGACTGGAATCGTCGGAGCGGTCCGCTGGGAGGGCTTACTCCCCGGATCCACGGATTAGCCGCTCACGAACCAGAGTTGCGGAGCTCGGGATTCGACGGCAGGGCCCACCCACTCCGGTGAGAGCGTTTGGGGGATTTGTCCGTACGCACCTCTCTGGTGGGGACGATGATCAGCGCGTAGGGACCGTCCGCTCTCTGCCAGGAACCAGGAAGGGGAAAACAAAGACACCGGTTTAAACGCAAGCATCGATTATTACAGCCGGCGTTTAGTTGGTGATGACAGGGGCACCACGGTGGCTGGATGTTAACTCTCTCGCTTGGTATGCAGGAGGTCGTGGGTTTAATCCGGACCTTGACATCTGCTGTATATTTGGAGTTTGCGTGTCTCTCTCTCTCTCATCCGACGTGGCCTCGTAGATTTTTTTGAGCCAACATCACGCTATTTGGTTGCCGAAATTTCCACGTGACGATGACGAACCACTTCATTGAGCTGTCATTTGTGGCCAGGTGGCATCTGAAAAAGAGCGATATAGCTCAATGGTAAAATAAAAATAGTTTAAGGTTAGTTTCGTTAACAAAAAATGTATATCCTCAATAATGGATGTTTTTTGGGGTTAGATCGCGTAAATATAAATGTGTCGTTAAAACCACCAGCCAACACGGCCAATTCTTTTCGCCTGATGAAGCTAGTTGTAATTACTGGCGAAACGTCGTACTCAGATTGTAAATGTTGTGGCTTGGCTCTCCAACACACCGATGTGCTGTACTAGTGAGGAATTGGCCACATTCTGTTTACGTGACAACCCTTACTAGTTGGCCGTGTTGGGCGGTGGCAGGTTTAACGACACATTTATATTTACGTGATCTAACCCAAAAAACCTCGATTATGTATAATACTGGTCGCGAAAGTCTACGTGTTAAACTTTACATATGTTGCTTGGGCTATTTATACGAGGACCATTGATGAAATTGTAAGTATTAATTTTATTAAATTTCTTCTATTTAATAGCAAAAACGTTTGTCTATTAATTGTGATTCTTGAATAGGATGTTGTTTGTCGAACTCGGATCGCAGCCGGGTTCTTAGCGCAGTACACTAACCACTGCACCACCGCTCCCCAACACAAGACAAAGACACCCCCGTGTAGCCTTAACAGACTGTCGGGGCAAGTGCTGTTAGCGAGCAGCACCTATGAAGGCCGGCACGGCACACAAGGGGGTAGGGGTGGCCAGCACCATGCCTGCCCGGCGCCTTTGTCTCCCCAGTAGCGATTATTTTACACACTGCACCAGGTACTCATTTTAGGCCGAGTCTATCTAGGGGAGGCCCATGACCGGCTCAGATAATCGTAACTGGTGTTGGTTGCTGTGAGGGGGATTCAAACTCGCTCAGGTCGCTGGGTTCGAAGCGCAGCGCGCTGACCGCTACACTACCGATACCCACACAACAAAGATCTCCCGTGTAGCTTTGAACAGACTGTCGGGGGATAAGAGCTGTTGGCGAGTACCTACAACAACAAAGATCCTCTGTATCGCCTGAACAGACTGTTGGGACAAGTGCTGTTAAGCGAGTGCCTATGAAGGCCGGCATGGCACACGAGGGGGTGGGTGACCAGCACCATGCCCGGCCGCCTCCGTCTCCCCAGCGGCGATGATTTTACACACCGCACCAGGTACTCGTTTGAGACCGAAGGGGAGACACATGATCGACTCTGACAACCGTCACTGTTATCGATTGCCGTGAGCGTGAATCGAACTCGGGTCGGCAGTGTTCGTACCGTGATCTTGGGCTGCGCGGCCTGCAGGGCTTGCACCAGGGGAACCGCGTAGGCCAGCGTCTTTCCTGCGCACGCGGGCGGCAGGGTCAGAGTCGGTGGGGGGGGTCGGGGGGGGGTCATGGGGGGGTCAAGATGGTGCGACCGCAGGGGGGCTACGCGGTGGCGCTGCCGCACGGCTCGCTGTCCACGTGCGCGACACTTCGTGGCTGCGGTGTTGATTCTTCGTGGGCAGCGTGTGGCCCCCGTCGCAAAGAAAGACGATCAACTGTTTTTTATTGCAGATGTCCAGTAAAAGGGCAGGTCAGAAAATTTGCCACATTATTTAATTATTTTGAGTCCAAAAGGTAAGTCGTGAAAAATGCATTCGAATAAGTATATAAGTACAAACGAAAACTAAACTATTTTTTTTATTTTACTTGGTTAGTGCCGGCTGAGCTATACAGCACTTTTAAGAAGCGACCTGGACATCACCAATGATAGCTCAACGAAAGTGGCTTATCATCATGACGTGGGAATTTATAGCAGGGGACAAATACTCTAACCGCACGTGGATTCTAAATGTGGAGGGAAAAACCGGAGGACCCGGACAAAAATCCATTCGACCACGGGGAAAGAGAGAGAGAGAGGACACGCAAACTCCAAATATATAGCAGCAGGCGTCAGGGTCAGGATAGAACCCACGACCTCCTGCACACCAAGCGAGGTAGTTAACATCTCCTAGCCCTAAAGTCCCACCGCCACGGGGCAGGGGGACAGGATTTGGTTCTGCGGATGGGGCCAGTGTCTATGGTTCTGGTTTAGAGCGCCGGTGATCCCAGCTGTTCACAGGCAAGCGATGGTAGCAGACATTTGCTCAACTCCACAACCCACGAATTGGCGACCCACGAATTGGCAGAATGTTACAAAGTAGCGCTCATCACACACAAAGTGCTCGCCGCAAATGAGATACAAATGAACCACAAATGAACCACAACACCTCTCTGAACTCGTCAAGGAGCATAAACCATCATCACGCAAACTCCGATCGTCCTCGCAGCAGCAGCAGCAGCAGCAGCGGCTTTTGGCTCAACCATCGAACAAAGGCGGCGGTCACCGCTGTATCGCGCGGCGCTTTCAGATGCGCTTCTTCGGCCGTCTGGAACGTTCTTCCTTCCGATATTAGGAAGCCACTGGGAGCTACACACTTTTAAATCATCATCATCATCTAGATTGACAAACTCATTTCTCAAGAACTGCTTTTTGTGTTTGGTTTGTTGTCCTTCCCCCACACCTCTGATTAGCAGTTGGCTACGTACGGTGGTGCGATAGAAGTTCAACGTACAGGACAGGAAGTGGAATTGGACTGGGAACAACGTTCATGTCGACTTTTTGTGCATTGCCCAATTGCTTCCTCCCAAACGCGAAATCAAAAAACACGACTACAGTAAAACCTTGGATTGCGAGTAACTTGGTCTGTGAGTGTTTTGCAAGACAAGCAAATTTTTTAAATAAATATTAATTTGATAAACGAGCGAGGTCTTGCAATACGAGTAGTACGTGTATACATTTTGTCTGCCGAGCGTCACGTGATCACAACTGACATACGAGTGCTTTTATATACGAGTGCTTTGGATTACAAACACGTTTCCGGAACGAATTATGCTCGCAATCCAAGGTTTTACTGGACTGTCGTGTCCTCCTGTAACGTCATTGAGTTCCTGAATAACGCCGCGTTGTGGAGAAATCGCGTCATAACAAATGGTACAGGGTAAAGCACAGTCCGCGACAACACGTGAGATGCGTTACGCAGGCTGAACAAAGACTGAAACGCGTGAGTAGCAGCATCTAGAAGCATCCAGCAGCATCCCAATGCCTGGTGCGCGTGCGACGTAGTTCCGTTCGCTCGATCGCATCCTGCGGCTATAAAAAAAAAAGTTCCCCGACACATTCATCGTGTTATATATCCAATTCGCGTTGATATGAAAACTACTCGCTATAGAAGAACGGACTGCGTTGGCCAAACCTCTCCGATGCAGGAGCGCAAGGGGCGAGGGGGGGCTGGGGGGGGGGGCTGTACGGCGAGTGGGGGGGGTCCCGAGCGCGTGGAACGAATGGACTGGAGTGGTGAGTGGTGAGCGGTGAGGGAGACCTGATCCTGTCTGTGACTTCACGAGAGCGTCCCGTCCCTGCAGCAGCACTGGGATGGCCTTCGTCTGCACCCTGCACGCACACAAAGACAAAGGTCCCACCCACGTGTAGCCTTGCTGGGGGCAAGTGCTGTTCGCGAGTAGCAGCGCACCGGCCGCCTTCCCGCCGTGGTGGCGAGGAGATGTTAACTCCCTCGCCTGATATACAGGTGGTCGTGGGTTCGATCCCAACCCTGACGCCTGCCGTATATTTAAAGTTTGCGTGTTTGGTTTGTGGTCGTGTGGATTTTTCTCGGGTGTCCTCCGGTTTTCCCTCCACATTTAGAATCGACGTCACGCTTTCAGAGTTTGTCTGCCGCTATAAATTCCCACGTGATGATGATAAGACACCATTGGAACCTCCTTTGCCAGTAGCAAAATATGATAATTGTTTTTTTACCCTTTTATCTGACAACAAAACTGATACCTTTTTGTTGCCAGATAAAAGGGTAAAAAAAACAATTATCATATTTTGCTACTGGCAAAGCAGGTTCCAATGGTGTAAATGCTTACCCCGAGCTCTCATACTCTGATGGTGCATTGGCTTTGAGTTGTGCGCCTTTTGGCATCATCTGGTCCAACACCATGTGAGACTGGGCTCTAAGAAAAGCTGTCTCGGGTGTGGACCAATCAATTTCAAGGACAGTGCATACATTTCGATTTAAAGCTTTCGTGACTGCAGGGATTCATCTTCTTGGTTCTTTCGGTAAAGTCACGTAGAAGGGAAATAATAAAATAAAGACCGCTGTCTTTCCGACAGACCTGTTCTTCACCTGAGGATGGCTGCGTGCGTTGTGGCCGAAAAGTCGTGAGAATTATTTTATTATATAATATTTTTTATTAATTTATTATTTCCCTTCTACGTGACTTTACCGAAAGAACCAAGAAGATGAGTGCATACATTATCAGAGTTATGTTTTTGTTTGCATTCCGACTGCAGGTATTGTGGTCAATGCAAACATGACTCCTTGCAAAAAAAGGTGTCAGTTTTGTTGCCAGATAAAAGGGTAAAAAAACAATGATGATAAGCCACTTCGTTCGGCTATCATCTGTGGCCAGGTCACTTCTGAAAAAAATCCACATAGCTGTGGGCCCTACCTGGTGAAATTACAATAGTTTAGTTTAATCTGTCTCCCCCACATCACATTTATAAGGCTGGGTTGACCTAAGGGAGGCCCAGGAACGGTTCAAATATTCGCCACCCATGTTAGCGGGGAATCGACCTCGGAATGTGACGCTTTGCAGCGCTGTGTGCTTCACGCACACTCACAAAGACCCCCTCCCCCCCATCCGTGTAGCCTAAATAGACTTTTGAGACAAGTGCTGTTAGTGTGGCCCCATGAAGGCCGGCACGGTACACGAGGGCGTGGGTGGCCAGCACAACGCCAGGCCGCCTTTGTCTCCCCAGTGACGATGTTTACACACCGCCCCATGGATCTCATTTGAGTCGACCTAGGGGAGGCCTGGGACCAGTTCAGATAATCGTCACTGGTGTTGGCCGTGAGCCGAAATCGAACCTGGGTCGCCGGGTTCATAGCGCAGCATGCTAATCGCTACATGTACACACACACACACGCGCACACTCGCACACACGCACACACGGGCAGGGGACAACAGCTGACATTGTGATCCAGGGTCACACGGTCGGCACGGGTCAAGCGCGAGTCCCACTCACATGGTCATCTGGGTGAGCTTCATCTGCTTGTCCAGGGTGGACACCTGGAGGGACGACAACACAGACGGCACGGGGTCACACGGTGGCAGCAGGGCGAGTCGCCCCTTGTGGTGGTGGCGGCACACCCACCCACCTACCCAACCAGTCACCCACCCAGCCACACACCCAGCCAGACACCCAGCCACCCACCCACACACCCAGCCACCCACCCAGTCACCCACCCAGCCACCCATCCAGTCACGCACCCAGCCACTCACCCAGCCACACACCCAGCTACCCACCCACACACCCAGCCACCCACACAGTCACCCACCCAGCCACCCACCCAGCCACACACCCAGCCACCCACCCACACACCCAGCCACCCACCCAGCCACCCACCCAGCCACACACCCACCCAGCCACACACCCACCCAGCCACCCACCCACCCAGCCACCCAGCCACCCACTCAGTCACCCACCCACCTACCCAACCAGTCACCAACCCAGCCACTAACCCAGCCACCAACCCAGTCACCAACCCAGTCACTAACCCAGCCACCAACCCAGTCACTAACCCAGCCACCAACCCAGTCACCAACCCAGTCACCAACCCACCCAGCCACCCACCCAGCCACACACCCACCCACCCACCCAGTAATCCACCCAGCCACACACCCAGCCACACACCCAGTCACCCACCCAGCCACCCACCCAGCCACACACCCAGTAATCCACCCACCCAGCCACCCACCCAGCCACACACCCAGTCACCCACCCACCCAGCCACCCACACAACCACACACCCAGTAATCCACCCAGCCACCTGCTTCAATAACAATGCACACATTGTCCTTGAAACTCAGGGGCCTCCACCAGAGCTACAGCCTAAGGGGAAGGAAGAGTCCGCACCAGGTACGGGTGGAGGTCCAGCGTTGAAAACGCGTTGCCGGCGAACACAGCCTCCTTGCGCTGCGACACCACGGGCCTAGGGGGGGGTCGCGGGGGTGGGGGGGAAGGAGACACGAGAGAGCCGTGACACCGACGCACGCAAAACAAATAAACAAACAAACAAACCGGCGTCGCCGTCGCCGCTGCGCGACGTCCGCGGTGCGGTTTGACCTCTCCGTAAAAAAAAAAAACTACGACCTAAAACGCAGCGTTTGGGGCCTTTCAGGGACCGGCATGACAATTCGTGGTTTGGGTTATTTTTTTCCTCCGGGTCGCGGTGCCGGCCGCGTCAAGGATGCGAAGACGCCCGTCATACGTCTGTCACAGCAGCAGCAGCAGAGCGGCAGCATCAAGAGCCCCCGAGAAAGCGGAGGAGGACGCTGCTGGTTGCTCCTCCTGGCAACCAAACTATAATCACTTTTATTTTTTCATTCTACCAGGTAAGTGCCCCGCTGAGCTGCTACGCAGCTCTTTTTGAGAAGCGACCTGGCCGTCACAAATGATAGCTCAACGAAGTTGGCTTATCACAATCACGTGGAAATGTACAGGAGTCAAATAATCTAAATAATCTAAACGAACACCGCGCTCGCTAGCCCGGCTCACCAACAACGCTCGCTCACCTGGCTCACCAAGCTCGCTCACTCGACCGGCTCACCAACAACGCTCACCCAGCTCACCAAGCTCGCTCACTCGACCGGCTCACCAACAACGCTCACCCGGCTCACCAAGCTCGCTCACTCGACCGGCTCACCAACAGCGCTCACCCGGCTCACCAAGCTCGCTCACTCGATCGGCTCACCAACAACGCTCACCCGGCTCACCAAGCTCGCTCACTCGCCCGGCTAACCAAGCTCGCTCGCTCGCCCGGCTCACCAATCTCGCACTCTCACCTCTCCACACTGGGGATGCTGGGATTGTTTTTGAAGAGCGAAGACGTTTTGGGGAAGGCCTTCTCTCCGGGTCCTCCCGCCCGGGCCTTCCCTCGTCCTCTGGCCTCAGACCCTCGGGCCCTCGAACCCCCACGGCCCCGGGGGGCCTTGGCCGGGCCTCTGAGCGCCGCCGCCTCCTCCTCCTCCGAGGCGTCCGTCTCCCGGCTGCGCTTGGCCCCGCGCTTCTGCTGCACACGCAGGGCGCAGCTTCAACCTCATGCACACCCTGCCTCCTCCTCCTCCATCATCCTCATGCACACCCTGCCTCCTCCTCCTCCATCATCATCCTCCTCCTCAAACACACGCTGCCTCCACGTCCTCCCCAGCAGGGTGAGTGTGGGGGTGGCTGTTGGCTAGCGGCTGTGGGTGAATGTGTGGGCGAGTGTGTGGGTGTGTGGGCGAGTGTGTGAGTGAGTGTGTGGGTGAGTGTGTGGGGGAGTGTGTGGGTGAGTGTGTGAGTGTGTGGGCGAGTGTGTGGGTGAGTGTGTGGGCGAGTGTGTGGGCGAGTGTGTGGGCGAGTGTGTGGGCGACTGTGTGGGCGACTGTGTGAGCGAATGTGTGGGAGAGTGTGTGGGCGAGTGTGTGAGCGAGTGTGTGAGCGAGCGTGTGGGTGAGTGTGTGGGCGAGTGTGTGAGCGAGTGTGTGGGCGAGTGTGTGGGTGAGTGTGTGAGTGAGTGTGTGGGTGAGTGTTCCAGTGAGTGTGTGGGCGAGTGTGTAAGTGAATGTGTGGGCGAGTGTATGAGTGAGTGTGCAGGTGATTATGTAGGTGAGTGTTGTCGGTGAGTGTGCAGGTGACTGTGTGTGTGTATGGATGATTGTGTGGGTGAGTGTGTGGGTGAGTGTGTGGGTGAGTGTGTGGGTGAGTGTGTGTGTGTGTGTGTGAGTGTGTGGGTGAGTGTGTGGGCGAGTGTATGAGTGAATGTGTGGGCGAGTGTGTGAGTGAATGTGTGGGCGAGTGTATGAGTGAGTGTGCGGGTGATTATGTAGGTGAGTATTGTCGTTGAGTGTGCAGGTGACTGTGTGTGCATGGATAATTGTGTGGGTGAGTGTGTGTGTGAGTGTGTGTGAGTGTGTGGGTGTGTGAGTAAGTGGGGAGCGGTGGTTCAGTGGTTAGCACTCTGCGCTGCATGTGAGCCTGTGCATGTGAGCCTGTGCAGGTGAGTGAATGCAGGTGAGCCTGTGTAGACAAATCTATGCAGGCGAGTCTGTACAGCCAAGTCTATGTATGTGAGTCTATGTAGGTGAGCCTGTGCATGTGAGCCTGTGCAGGTGAGTGAATGCAGAAAATTCACACGAGCTGGGCACACACCTTATTATCCGGCTTGCGTCCTGTGGTGGGCGACATGACTTCACTTCACCGACGTCCACCTGAGTAGTCGATCACAAGATACTCCACCCCTGCACACACACACCACAAAGACAAAGGTCCCCCGTGTAGCCTTGAACAGACTCTTGAGGCAAGTGCTGTTAGCGAGAAGAACCTGTGAAGGCCGGAAACTGCACGCGAAGGGGTGGTTGACCAGCACCACGCCCGACCGCCTTTGTCTCCCCAGTGGTGATGTTTAAAGGCCACACCAGGTACTCATTTGAGGCCGAGTCGACCTAGAGGAGGCTCAGGACAGGGTCAGACAGTCGTCAACGATGTTGGTCGGGTTCGTAGCGCCATCGCGCTAACCACTGCACCACCGCTCTCACACACCAAAGACAAAGATCCCCCCTATAGTCGTAAGTTATGCTGGGGCAAGTGCTGTTAGTGAGCACATATTAAGGCCCGCGCGACACGCGAGGGGAGGTGGCCAACACCACGCCCGGCCGCCTTTGTCTCCCCTAACGCTGATTTATTAAAAACTGCACCGGGTACACATCTAAGGCTGAGTCGACCTAGTGCGTGTGTGTGAAATCACACACACACACACGCACACGTGTGTACCCACTGACCCACGTGTGTGCTCGCATACACGTGCACGTGTATTCACCCACTCACTCACACGTGTGTACACTCACCTACTGTACTCACGCGACACGTGTGGACACCCTCGCACGCGCACTGTACTAGCGCACACTGTACCCACCCACTGTACTAGCCGCGCACTGTACGAGCACGCGTACACTCACACACTGTACTAGCGCGCACTGTACCCACGCACTGCACTCGCCGCGCACTGTACCCACCCACGTGGGATCCACGCCGCGTCGTCCTCGCTACGCGACACAGCCCAGGAAGGACCCCGACCCACGTGACCCGACAGAGGGGGGTGAGGGGAGGGGGAGGAGGGGAGGGGAGGGGGGAGAGGGAGGAGGGGAGGGGGGAGGGGGGAGGGGGAAGAGGGGAGGGGGGAGAGGGGAGGGGGAGGAGGGGAGGGGGGAGAGGGGAGGGGGAAGAGGGAGGAGGGGAGGGGGTGGAGGGGAGGGGAGGAGGGGAGGGGGAGGAGGGGAGGGGGGAGGAGGGGAGGGGGAGGAGGGGAGGGGGGAGAGGGAGGAGGGGAGGGGAGGGGGTGGAGGGGAGGGGAGGAGGGGAGGGGGGAGAGGGAGGAGGGGAGGGGGAGGATGGGAGGGGGAAGAGGGGAGGGGGAAGAGGGGAGGGGGAAGAGGGGAGGGGGAAGAGGGGAGGGGGAGGAGGTAGAGGGGGAGGAGGGGAGGGGGAGGATGGGAGGGGGAAGAGGGGAGGGGGGTGAGGGGAGGGGGGTGAGGGGAGGGGGAGGAGGGGAGGGGGAAGAGGGGAGGGGGAAGAGGGGAGGGGGAGGGGGAAGAGGGGAGGGGGGTGAGGTGGGCAGAGGGGGGTCAGGGGAGGGGGAGATTAGGATCGGGGCCGTCCATAAATGACGTCACGCACCTAGTGGGGGGGGGGGGGGTCAGACATTTGTGACGATGTGTGACGAGGGGGGGGGGGGTGAGAAATGTGACGTCACATCAAAATGCGCAACTTTAAATAAAAATAGAATTTCGATTTAAATATTTCGTGACTGCAGGGATTCATCTTCTTGGTTCTTTCGGTAAAGTCACGTAGAAGGGAAATAATAAAATAATAAAAATAAAACATAATAAAATACAATTCTCACGACGTTTCGGCCACAACGCAAGCAGCCGTCCTCAGGTGAAGAACAGGGCTCATTCAGACGCTGTCTTTCCGACAGACCTGTTCTTCACCTGAGGACGGCTGCTTGCGTTGTTTTGATTAATTTTCATTATTAACTTTTTGATTATTTAAATTTTCTACGGTCACCTTTTATTTATTCCATAAAGGAGCATTTTGCTTCTCCGTGGGAGAATGGAGAAGCAAAATGTATTTTAAAAAAATTATTGTTATTAAACATTTAGATTTTAATAATTCTACCGGGGCTTTTCATTCTGTGGAATGAATATGTGATTGTTATAATTGTACTCTACATTTTGCTTCGTTCTACTACAAAGCTTCAAGTATTTTTTGTTATAGTTATCATTACTTTTAATATTTTATAATTATAAGAGAATTTCAATATAATATTCTGAACATCTGCAGTTTTAGTTAGACGTTGAATATTTTCAAGTGAATTTTATGCTAAATTTAAGCTTTACAACGCCTCCTTTTTAATAAATGTTTTCTTTTACAACATCAGAGTGCAGCGCCACATTAAATACGCACTACAATGACAATAATTTAAAGCGATTTGAAGCATTTTGGGGGGGGCAGAGCTTTGTGACGTCATATTTGAGGGGGGGGGTCTGACTTTTTGTGACGCCGTGTGACGAGGGGGGGGGTCAAAAATCGTTCAAAATCGCGTGACGTCATTTATGGACGGCCCCTTACAGAATCTTTGGGGCGATGCGGGGAGGGGGATTACAATTCCCACATCGGATCGGCGCGGAGCGGACCGGCCGATTGTAAACCGCACACCGCATAGACACGGCGCACGGGCGAATAGAAACCGTACGACGGATAAGCAAGAAGGCGCGCCTGCCTATTATAAACCATACCATGGACGGGTATTGAACGCGCGTGTCACAACTTGAAATCATAGCTATCAACCCCTTAGGGGACCATTTTTTACCCCCCCCCCCCCTCGTCACACGGCGTCACAAAAGGTCAGACCCCCCCCCCTTCAAATATGACATCACAAAGCTCTGCCCCCCCCCCAATTTTTTTTAAACATGCTTTAAATCGCTTTAAACTATTGTCATTGTAGTGCGTATTTAATGTGGCGCTGCACTCTGATGTTGTAGGAGAAAACATTTATTAAAAAGTCTATTTAATTAAGTAGAACGTGTTGTCTATATTAATTTAAAGTTGCGCATTTTGATGCGACGTCACATTTCTCACCCCCCCTCCCCTCGTCACACATCGTCACAAATGTCTGACCCCCCCCCCCCCAGGTGCGTGACGTCATTTATGGACGGCCCCTTATCAGTGCCCTGCCTTCTTATAAATCTCAGCGTTCATCCTGCAAAGTCCCAACGCAAGGAAGAAACACAAACAAATAGACGAAAATTATATTACTAAGCAAAATATATTTGACTTATTAATTTTGATAATTGGTATCAATGATGCTACTTATCATGCTCTACTGTCTGTGATATTGTATGCTGATGCTGCTGTTTGCTTGATATCAGTGGCGGCTCCTGCAAAATCTCTCAGGGGGGGCAAATGTCTGGATGATTGATAAGGATAAGGTCCACCCATGCAATGGATAAATTAACAGCTTAAGTATGTAAAGGCAACTTCACTTCTTTAATATTAATGAAAAATAAAGTGACTTACAATACATCTTGTTTGTTTCTATACTCACTATTAAAACAAACCACTCAAGTTTATTTTATTAAAGATTCCACTAGGTAGCAACAAATTATATTGTTGGATGAAACGTGCTTACGTATGATGACGTAAGCACGTATGATGACGTAAGCACGTTAGGGCTTGCCCTCCCGGAAGCCATAGAGAATGCATTGCAGCACCCCCGTTCGAAAAAAAACATCTTTTAATGTAAGTCTATGGGGCCACTCGGGGCGATTCTCAGCCGGAGGGAAATCGCCCAAAAAGAGGCGGTACTCCACAGAACGTAGCATGACGCTGATTGGACTATATCCAGAGGCTGACAGTGACGGCTAGCGTGACTCTGTGGTTCAATGACATTGGTGGTGCGTCGCCCAATCGCCCTAATGAAGAAACCGCCCCTGCTTGATATGTGGATGCCCACAATCTCCCTTGCGATGGGACTTTGCAGGATGAACGTTGAAATTTATTAGGGTCCCGGGGTGACCAATCAGGTCTGACTTGGTCTGTGACGCGGTAGGCACGTCACAGTCACCTCGTGGCGGGAATTCTTATTGGTCGAGGAGGAGCCATGCCCAGATATTGCCAGTAGATGGCAGTTGTTGTATCCTAACCCTTCTTCCAGAATTGAGATTATAATATTTGATGATTTTTATATATTATCTTTTTACTTGTTTTTTTTATGAGTGAAACACACCAAAGCGCACCAAACTGCAAAACACCAGGTGTTGTTAAGTAATGAACGAGAGGAGGGCTAGGATGACAGAATTGCAACCTTGCTTCAAGGCAAAGGCAGTGAAAGGAAGCAGAGGCGCCTTTGTCTAAGTCATAACCACAGAAAGCCAGGAATCATCACTGATTGTGTGTTAGGGATTCCGAGCTAATTAGAACACGTGCACACAGAAAGGGAGGTAGAAGCACGCCTTGTTCTCCTGCAGCTGAGGAAACAAAGATAAACCCAAAAAGGCCTTGGACCTGAAATTAAGAATAACATTCCCAGAGCAGAAGGTTGGAGGGCCACAGGGAGCTGATTTAAAAGAGTGTTGTATATCTCTCAAGGCGGGCAAGACCCAGCTGAATAACAAGCCTGCGGGGGTCACCAGAAGTTCGCATTCGCCTAGTTAAGACAAAAGCTCAATTATTCTGTATTGCTATTAAAGTAACGTTAAAGTCGGAATTTAACAACAGGGTAGGCTAAAGTTATTGATATTCACACCCACTCCAATTAAACCAGGCCACAAGTTACGCCTACTGAACCATCACCATCATTAAGTCAAATGAAATGTTATTTCCATACTTTAATACTTTCTATGCAACTCGACCCGAAGCATATGACAATCAGAACCTTCCTAAGTCAAAATTGAATCGCACCCAGACAGGAGCGAATATATCATATATAAGGTTGAAGAGGGAAGGAAATTAAGAGCACGGCGGCAGACAAAAACCAGAACTGACTCCAAGGCTCAACCGCCCTCACCTCAGGAGTGACGGAAATTAATGAGGCCTTGAACAACGGCCAGCTGGACGGCAACAACAACGGCGAGCAGAGATAGGGTGGGGCAAAGACTGCGGGGCTATGAAATGCAACTTCGTGTCAGTAAAGCTCTGACAAACAAGTTAAGTTAAAGACATCACAATACATAATATCTACATAACATCAATGTTAACGCTATTCACCGTAAACTAAAGTAAAACTTATGAAAAGCCAGGATAACGGGATGAATCACCACCAGGTCGAATATAATACATAATAAAAAAAACGATGTTAAACCCAGGGTCGGAGAGAAAGGGAGATCCCGGCCGTCTTTGTATCTCCGCCGCGCGGGATAGGAGTGTGTATACGCTCGGGGAAACACCTCCACTTGAGTCAAGCACCACGATGGGAAACGACAGACCTTAGGTTACATACAGAATCATAACTGTGAAATAGTAAGGGACAAATGTTAACTTAAAACTTCTTAACCATTTCTTTGTGCGCCGGGTCGGAGAGAGTGTTGCCCCTCCCTCCAGGTGGTGCAACACGAACAAAGACGCCTATGAGACGATTTGTAACGTCTGTGTTTTGGGTTCATGAAGAAGGCCAGACAAGAGATAATATTTCACCCAGACAGAGAGACGACCTCGAGGCAATTTGTAACACCTGATTGTTTGCTCGTGGGTTTTATGGAGGGAGTGGGACAACGGAATACCGTGAGTGATGCACACAAGGACATACGGACGTACGGACACACACATGGACACACCTGCCTACGGACAGATCCTGACACAGCAAAAATCGAAAAGAAGCCCCGCCTTGTGGGCGGGATCCAGGGGGATTTTTCGGCATAAAGGAAAGGATCCTGAGCATTGGAAATCAGTGCGACCAGTGGGTTGGCTCAAGAACGAGTGCGACCAGAGGGTCGACTCAGGAGTGC